TGCGAAATAAATACTTGCCATACTTACAGTTAGCCAAAAAGCTTGCGCGCTCTCTCTCTCTCTCTCTCTCTCTGTCTGTCTCTCGCACGCCTGCTGCGTTATGTGTGCATGGTATATGCATATGCATATGCATTGCTTTATTCTCTACACTTTACCGATCCTGTTCTGCTGCACCCGCGCACACACACACACACACGCACACACACATGCAGAAATGCATGCACACGTACATTTGTAAACATCACGTCGCATTGTGTGCTTTATCACTGAGTTGAGTTTTATTTAACTTGCGAGTTTCTGGCTCTGCCTCTGTGTGTGTGTGTGTGAGTGCATTGATTACTCGCCAACTGGATGACAGCAGCCGGAGACGACTTAGAAACAGTAACCAACAACAACAACAACAACAACAACAACAACAACAACAACAACAACAAGTGGCTGGCAGCGTTTCTGATTGGACCTAGCGACCGACTGTCGATTGATTGAGCAACGTGCCCATACCTCACCCACCCCCCCAGCTCAGTTCCATTCTATATTCCATATTCCATGCCATTCCTCATTTCCAACCCCCTTCCAATTGCGGACCAGCTGCTTTTCTTGTTGTTCTGTTTAGGGTTAAAGCTTGCCATATTGATGCAAGGGGTAGCTGAGAGCTAGAACTGTTGTTGTGGGAAGGGGGGGAAGGGGGGAGGGGGGGGGGGGTGTGCTGCTGCTGTCTGCGTCGCTGTCGACGTTGACGTCGTGTAGTCGTCTGACTGGGCGCCCCATGTGTTAATTACCAAGTCAAATTTGCCTTGCGACAATTAAAAACGATCGACGTGTACATGTCGTGATAAGGGGGGGGGGGGGGGGGGGAAGGGCTGGGGCTGGATGGAAGCTGGCAGTAAAGGAGTAAGCATGCATGTACGTACGTATGTATGTATGTGTGTGTGTATGTAAGTTTGCATGTGTTGTGTGTAGAGTTGTCAAAGTTTTTGAACAGGCTTTTGGGGCGCGGGGGCGCAGAGAGTGTGCGCAAAAGGGCAGCAGGAGGTCTGATTGGAATAATTTGAATAAGTTTTTCATGGCAATGTGCGTCGATAAGTTTATCGATTGTTTGTCGCGATTGCTGCACATGGCCTATCGATTGCTTGGCGCAATTGTCAGCAATTGCCATCAATTGATTATCGTTTAATATATTTTTAATGGACAAGATCGTATTGTTGTTGTTTGTCTTTATAGATCACGTTGCGTTGTGCCGTTAAGTTTGTTGATCGATTTTGTTGTGTTGCATATCGATTATCGATTAGTTTCAATCGTGAATCGTGCAACTTTCAAACGATAAGCTGAATTGAAAGTTATCGAAATGAATCGATTAATAAATCATATCGATTATTGTTTGCCTGCAGCTATGCGTTTATCGATGTTTTTTTGTTGTTGTTGTATATCTTGCTGCTGCTGTTGCTTTCCAGTTGGACTTCCAGTTTTGATAGCTGCTCGTAACTAATTGCTAATGTTATTCCCCCTTCCAGTCTAACTAACTATATGCCATATGCATATGTGTGTATGTATGTATTTACGTGAGGTAAAACGATTTAAGCGCCAATGTATTCCCTCCCCCCCAATCCCCCTTCTATGGCAACACCATTCCCTTTCAGCTTTGTTACCTGTTCGTGCAGGTTATTGTTGTTGTTGTTGTTGTTTTTGGTTTTAAGATAGCATTATAAATAACACCTATAATAACTATGTATTCATTTTCAATTCGCATATTTGTACATACATGTGTAGACACCCGCGCCCTCCCCTCCGCGTCGGGCCGCCTTCTACCTGTTTCAAAGCTTTGATCTGTGTGTGTGTGTGTGCGCAGAATAAAGCGCGGCTCTGTTGCTTGCTCGCTCTAACACGTACTCTCCGCGCGCGCGCGCTCTCTCGCGCTGCTGCGTCTGTATTGGTGTTAGCTCATCGAGGTTATGGATATTGCGTCGTCGTCGACGTCGCAGTTGTTGTTGGGCTTATAAACCAGTTAGTCAGCCAGGCAGTCTTCAGCATCACACACACACACACACACACACACACGCATAGTTAGGCAGGTAGGTAGGTACGTTTGTGTGTCTGTGTGCGAACGTGTTTACGAGACAACAACAACAACAGCAAAGGCAGCAGCCAAGCCAAAGCCAAGCCAAGCAACAAAAAATCTTACCTAACAGCAGCTCATACATATTTACATAAATACACACACACACACACGCACACTTACACATTGTAATCATTTGTTATGCTAAATTAAAAACCAAAAGAAGAAGAGAAAAAAAAACAATCATAAAATGTCAAATTGAGAGCTGATGTGCCAAATTGAGCCGGAACTTTGCCAAGCTCTCGCTGCAGGCAGCGCAGCGACCGCGCGCGCAAAAAAAAAACCCCAACTAGAATCAAGGCAAGGTCCAAGCGGCAATAAAAGCTCGGCTCGAAAGCAACAACTGCAACCGCAACATGTCTACAAAGCAAATGTTGCCAACAGCAGCAACACTCACACACACACACACACACACACACACACAAGTTAGAAGCCCGCAGACTGCAAAGAAAAGTAAACTTATTTTCATCTTCAAATGAAAGGGAAATTCTCACCTAGATGAAAGATGTGGCTAGCAGCAAACCGCACACACACACACACACACACACACACACACACACACACACACACACACACACACACACACACACAGGCAGAAAACTTGTAGACTTGCCTATCCATAATAACACACACGCACACAAGCGCACATGCGTATATAGCGCAAAAAGCAAAAGCAAAAAACCACAACAACAAAACAAGAGTTGCGGCCTCCTCAGTCGACGTCGCTGCGACAGCGGCGCTCTGATCTATTTGTCTGGTTTTCATTGTATGCCCGCCGGGGCGGCCGCACACTTACTCACAACCGTCCCCCTCTAACCCCTCTGCAGCACCATGCATAAAGCGCCAGAGCCGAAGCGTTCGCTGATTGCCGAATTGGGCACAGGGTATACGGGTATTGCGGGCTGCACTCTGTACTCCTGTTTATCTTGTCTTTTGTACACACACACACACACACACACATGCAGAGATGAATGCGCGGCCAACTTGAAGTTGTTTTTGAACACGTTTGAGCGTTGCGACGGCAGCGTCGCACTGCCCCGCTCCCACTCACCAGCGATTGCCTGTTTGTTTGTGTGTGTGTGTGTGTGTGGTACTTTATGCAAGCAAAGCTTAAGCGGCCGCAAATGATGCCGTAAGCGCGAAGTTGGTCATAACAGTCGTAAAAGTTTGCTAACTTGTTGCGCAGACTTGTTGCTGTTGGTGCAGCGTTGCCAGATTGTTGCCAACATCAGCTGAGCCGCTGCTTGTCATGCATTGAGCAGCATTCAATTGTAATTTAACTGTAAAACCGAGTGAATGAGCGACTCAATGCTGAATGAAAGTCACATTGTGTCTGAGTGCGATAAATGGCAAGTGTATTGTGCTGTAAAACCTATTTATAAATTCACTTAGGATCCATGAAAACGATAATGAACAAATATTAATAAACTCAATGAATCAGTGTAGTAGTCGATAAGCAATCAAAGAAATCACTCGAAAGATAGTCAAATGAATCACTCAAGAACTTTTTAGATTCAATTACGAATGAGCGTGAACTGCGAAAGTTCACGGCAACAGTCTGGCAACGCTTGGCGCAGGCCCGCCGGCCGCGCACGCGTCTGTCGACCAAATGTATGTGAGTGCTAGTGTGTGTGTGTGTGTGTGTATATAAGTGCGTGTTAAGTGGCAACCAGTTTGGTTTGTTGTTGTTGTTGTTTTTATTGTATTTTATTTTTATTTTTACCTTAACGACGGCTGCTGGGCCCCAAAAAGCTGTTGTTGTTTTTCTTTCTGCTCTTTCTTATTTTGGCCGCGACGGCGTCTTCGTTTGCTTTGCTTTTGGTCCGTTTGCTGCTGCGCGTTGTTTGGTGTTCGTGTTCGAGTTCGTGTTATGTGTGTGTGTGTGTGCGTGTGTGTGTTTGTTGGCTTGAACTTGAGCTCTATACATATGTAATTGGCGCTGTTGTTTGTTGTTGCTGTTAGTTGGCTGTTGCGCTCTCTCTTTCGCTCTGCTAGCTTGCTTGCCTGTGTGTGTATGTGTGTGTGGTTGCATAACATGTTACAGCATCGCACGAAAATGAACAACAACAATAGCAATAACTATACAGAAAGAAAGAAAGACAGAAAGAAGAAGAAGAAAGACAAAAAAACCGAAACTGATGACGACACACGCCAAGTCTGCTGCGTGGAAGTAGAGTGGCTGGGTGAAGGGAAGTGGAGGGGGGGGGGGGGGGTTTGTAGTGAAGTGGAGTGGAGAGCGAACGGGCAATGCCGTATTAAGCAGCTGTGTGTGGAGAGCTTGCGGCGCCGTCGCAGCCGCCATGTCCGTGTGCGTGCTGTTAATGTTGCCATTGTTGTAGCTGTTATTGTTGTTGTAGCTGTTGTTGTTGCTGTTATTGTTGTTGCTGTTATATTGGTTAATGGCTGGAAAATTACATATATGCATACATATAACATTTGGCTCTGCTATTTATATTTTTATTTTTGCAATATCATTACCATTACAAGTAACTGCCGCTGCGTCAACCCAAAATTAATTTAAGCTAACTGCGCTGCCGACGTCGACGTCGACGTCGCTGGCTAGACAAGCAGCAATTGAGCGAGCGCCTTTTGCTTGTGCTCTTTACTCTTTGCTTATAGGTCAAGTTAAAAGTAAAAGTATTATGTGTGTGTGTGTGTGTTTCGCCCATTTAAGCGCGTCTCTGTGTGTGTGTGTGTGTGTGCGTCGCTGTCGCTGCTCTGCTGCTCTGTCTCCTTTGCACATTCGCTACATTTTGTCGCGCATGAGAGAGAGAGAGAGCGAGAGAGCGAGAGAGCGAGTGGCAGGCAATCAGTGCAAAAGGCGCGCAGCGCGAAAGCTCGGCTGATATTAATTGTTGGCTTGTTTTTTTGCTGCGTCTTGTTACAGGTTGTCAGTGATATGCAGCAGCAGCAGCAGCAGCAGCAGCAGCAGCAGCAGCAGCAACCGGATCACATCCTGGACGCCAGCATGGAGCAGCACCTAAGCGATAAGGATCATCTTCAGCAGCAGCAGCAGCAGCAGCAGCTGTTGCATCAGCAGCATCATCGCTTGCATGGACCGTTAACGCGCACCATCTCACAGCCGGCTCAGCGGCTGAGCCAATTGACACAACAGCAACAACAACAGCAGCAGCAGCAGCAACAGCAGCAGCAGCCGCAAGTTGCATCGCTGGTGACCATCATTGAGAATCTGAGCAACATAACGCTGCACCGCAAGTTGGAGCGCACGCAGTCGGAGCCGCTGCCGCCGCAGCAGCCAATGAACACATCGCGGTAAGTAGAACTTCTTCTGTTCAAGTTCCAATTGAACATGTTGCGTGTGCGGGAGTGCGTGGCGATGTTCGTGCTCGTTGCGTAGCTATGTATAAGGACTATAGAATCAGAGCTGCCATCTAACCAAAATTGTGCATTTATCTTTTTTAAAGCAATATTATTTAATTTCCTTTCTGAATTTGTATACAAAATGAGGTAGTTATTTGCGTTATTTTTGCTACACATAAAAATAGTGGAAGTTAGTTAAAGTTTTAGCAACTGGTGGCAACTCTGTCTGGAATTTGTTGTCGCAATACGCCTGCGCAACAGTTGAGCGTGAGACAGGTTTGCGGCGAGTTCCTGTTTGCAGACAGCCAGCCGAACGCAACATGCCTGTGCAACAGGCTCGGCTCTAGGCGAAATAAAGTTTGTGATTGGAAAAAAGCTACATTATAACAAACAGTGTTTTAGCTAGTAAAAAGCTAGCTTCAGCCATAGGCGAGCCAACTTTATGCGACTGCCAAACGCAACATGTCTGTGCAACAACTCTAGAGCACAACAACACGCCAATTGGTAATTAACAGTTGCTTCGCAGCTTTCGTCAGGTTCAATTGGAACGCCCGATAGGCAGATTGCAACTTTGTAGACTTGCAGCTGCTGTTCAGCTTTCGTCAAGTGCAAACGAACTTATGTTTACTCTCTCTCTCTCTCCCATTCTCGCGTTAACCCTACAGCTACAAGACGGAATTGTGTCGCCCATATGAGGAGGCCGGCGAATGCAAATACGGCGAAAAGTGTCAATTCGCCCACGGCTATCACGAGTTGCGCAACTTGCAGCGTCATCCCAAGTACAAGACCGAATATTGTCGCACCTTTCACAGCGTCGGCTTCTGTCCCTACGGACCGCGCTGCCACTTTGTGCACAATGCGGACGAGGCGCGTGCGCAGCAGCAGCAACAACAACAACAACAACAACAACAGCAGGCGGCCAAAACGTTCCAGAAGCCCGCGCAGCTGATCAGCAACAACAACAACAACAACAGTAACAACAACAACAACACAAGCATCAGCCAATACTTTTTGCCGCTAAGCCCGCCGCTGAGCATGAGCACCGGATCGGATCGCGAATCGCCGACCGGCTCCCTTTCGCTGTCGCCGACAAATTCGCTGACAAATTTTTCATTCCATGAGGCGGCCGCCTATTTGAGTATGCCCAACAATTGTAACGGTACGGTGAATGGGCATGCCACCGCCTCCGTGTCCGCATCCGCATCCGCATCCGCATCCGGCTCCTGTTCGGCATCGTCGGCATCGTCGACGTCATCGGCGTGCGGTTTGGCGCCGGCCACGCCTCCGGATAGCCCAAATGCGCCCATATCGCCGGTGCATACGCCGCCGCCGCCGCCGTCAGCGCAGTACGAGAATTGCAACAACAACAACAACAACAACAACAACAACAACAAGCAGCTGCTGCAAAAGAGCATCAGCTCGCCGTTGCAACAACAGCAGCACGAGGAGGCGCCACGGCTGCCAGTTTTTAATCGTTTGAGCTCATCGACGGCCGCCACAATTTTAATGCAAAAATCTCAGACAATTAATCGATATCCGATCATTCCGCACGAGAATTTCATGTAAATGGCCGGCGTTTCGTTTTGTGGTGAATACGAAACTCACCACACGCCGTTAATAGCAGCCAGCCCCCACTCTCCACTCTCCATTCCTTCCCCTCTCTCTACAGCCAGCTATTCACAAACACAAACACACACACACACACTCTCTATCTCTCTCTCTCTCTCTCACTCTCTCATTTACTCACTGACTCAAGCAAGATCTTATTTATGTATATGTATATATATGTGTGTATATATATATGTGTGTGTATGTATATGTATATATATATATATATATATATATCGACTATATCTTTAGTCTTTAATTTAAATACTGGACAAATAAGAAGAAAACAATAATCTACGGACTGTACACTCAATAGATATAGCCCCCCCCCCCTCCCCTTCCCTTACCCCTCCCCTTACCCCCCGTCTGACCACACGCACACACACAAGCTGTAAGCATTGCGGTGCATTTATCGATAGCACGCATATCGATGCAACCCCTCCCCCCCTGCCCCCTCGCCCCGATATTGCACTTGTCGCTTTTGTTTAATATTTATATAATGCAAGAAATTCCTAGTTTAGTAACACTTGAAAAAGTCAGCGCCTATCGATAGACACAAGGCGCGCGCGTCTTCCAACACTGCAAAAACAAAAAGAAAAACAAACGAAATTTTTAATTTATTGCTAAATTTTATGTAATAAAACAAATGTTGTGTACACATCTACATATATATATATATGTACATGTATATATGTGTGTGTATTTCTATATATATATATATGTGTATATATTGAGAGTTGAGTTATATACACACGATAAACGATAACCGATAAACGATAAATAATTTGAAACATGTGTGAAACGAGTTGAATATGAAATACCTCCAATGTTGTTGTGCCTAAACAACAACAACAACAACAACAAGAAGAAGAAAACATTTTTTGAATTTTTTTTTAAATATTTTTTTTGTTTAATTTGAATTTTTGCTGCATTTTTTTTTTGTTTTTTTATTAAGAAAGAAAGAGAAAAAAAACATAATTTATTTTTCATATATGCATAAAAAACAATTATTGTTAATAATTTATGAAACCAACACACACACACACACAGACACACACACAGACACACACACATACACACACATATATGTATGTTTGTATATACACAACTATATAATTTTTTAATTTATTATACACACAACATTTTCTTCTGGGTGCAGTTAAATAATAATAATATTATTAATAATAATAACTAGGCTAAGACAAAATATATTTATATATAAACAAATACACATGCACATGCACATACACACATACATATGTGTATATATGTGTGTATGCATACTAAAGTGAAGCGATAACACGCACATTTATCGATGGCAAACAGTGTTGTCAAGTGTTGGAAAGTGAGCGTTTAGTCTTTAACTGCGCTTGTTCTTCAACACTTTTTTTTTTTGTACATGAGCGAAAAAATTGAAAAAAACAAAAAACAAACAGAATTGAAAACTGAGCACAGTGTTAATTAATAATAATTAAAATGTAATTAAGAGCGCTTTTTTTGCATGAGTAGAAAGAAGAAGAAGAAGAGGAGGAAGAAGTGGTTTAAGCCTTAACTTAAAGCAATTAATTAATTAAATTATTATTGAATTTTTGTAAACATTTTTTTACACGAGTTGCCTTTAAAACCTAGCTATACAAATACTATATAGCTATATATCTGTCTATATATATATATATATATATACATGAATAACATGAGCTAAAAAAAAAAACTGTTCAATTAATTTATAAAAAAACGCAACGCAAAACTAATTCAAATATTTAATTATTTTCACTAATTAATTTATTATTGTTCTTATATATATATTTACTTTTTTTTTTTTTTGTAAAAAACTATTTATGTCAATTTGAAGAAGAAGCATTAACAAAAAAACAACTTGAAAATGGGTGTAAATCAAATTCTCAAAGTGCCTTAAACAATAATTTTACACAAATAAATAAAAATTAAAAAAAAAAAATAAGAAGAAGAAGCAGAAAGCAACGTGCAAGCAGCATATTTATTATTTATTATTATATTATTTGCATTATTATTATTATTTTTATATAAATATATATATATATTATTTTTATTATTATTATTATATATTTTTTTTTTTGGTATGTATTTAAATATGAAAAAGGTTACGTTTACATTCTATCTCTTATATAAATTGCTTAACGCATACATTAAAACTATAGTCTATATACACACACACACACACACACACACACACACTTTTATATGTAAACAAAATTATTTCTATATTTAATTTAAGCACAAGTTTTGGTTCTTGAGAAACACACACACGCACACACACGCGCTCTTCCTCTTTTCGTTACGAAATTCATTTGAAAGCAAAACGTTTAACAATGTCTTCCCTCAACCTAACCTAACAATTGCTTCGATAACAATATCGATAACAATAACGATAACGATATCGTTTTGTTTTGACAACAAAGTAAAACAAGTTTTTCTCTTCCAGTTACATTTTCTTATATATAATTTCTCGTTTTTATTGATTTATCATTAATTTTTACACACACACACACACACACACACCTACATATATTTAAATACATTTATTTACTTTGTACAAAAAAAACAACAACGAAAAAGACAAAAATGTAACAAAAAATTTCTATCAAAATAAAAAAAAACAAAAAACAAAAAAAAACAACAAAAATTACATTTAACTGTAATGTATGAATTTTGTTAATGCTGCAACAGTTATGCTTCCATTAATACACTTACTAAATTTGTGTGCGTATTCTTATTTAGTTTAATTTAATATAACAAAAACTACAAAAAATGTGAAGAAAAACAATTTTAGTTTATGGCGAATTCTAAGTTAATAAGCAATTCAAAAACAAAAATGTTACAAAAATAAACAACAAAAAAAAAAATAAAATAAAATAACTTAAGTTTAATTTGCAGGGCATTTGACTAGTCGGTCAAATGTGCTGTGTTATTTTTTGCATTGCCTACTTTTATGCGCGAGCCGTTAATTTGAATAACGCTTCGCCCGTTGCCACATAGATGGCGCCACTCGCCACTGGCGCGGCAATTGCAAGCATTAACTTAAATAGTCGTAGCATGCGTAAGTCCTGACGTATTTTAAGCAGATATGCATTTTACTGTTCATATAAACACATATTTAACTTGATTTTCTATAATGTATGAAATCGGCTGTAACTTAGCCATCTATTGGACATCATTGTAACATGTCTTGAGATGATGCGTTAAGCTGGCCAAAGCTGGCGCCAGTCAGGCAAATTTGACCTATGTTCGACGTCGGATGCAACTTAGCCATCTGTCGGATTTTCTTGTAGCATATGCTTGAATCATAGTTCAAATAGCTGTCAAGAGATGGCGCCAGTTGTTCAATTGAGGCGCACTTGAAGCATAGTTCAAACAGCTGCCAAAAGATGGCGCCAGTTGTTCATTGGAGGCGCTCTGGAAGCATAGTTCAAACAGCTGCCAAGAGATGGCGCCAGTCAGGCTAGATTTCAATCTTCCCCATTAAATGCCAAATAAAAACTGTATTTAAAAAAAGTGTTTAATTTATTTTAAAGTGGAAATGGACAAAAAAAATTATTAAAATTAAGAAAGCTATGTACAACTAGCGAGCAGTGCACTGAACTCGCTTTGAACCTTGCTAAAACTTAAATGCCAAAAACTAATACTTATATACAGCTACATAATATAGATATATGTATATATATATATATTTAGATTAATATTTAAATTATATTTATATATGCGACACATATTTAAAATAATGCTCTAACGTATTGTATATGCAACAGCTTGGAACTTAAAAGACACATGCATTTTTTTCTTCGATTTTTTTCTTCTCTTTTTTTTCTGGATTAAATTAAGCCTAAGATTAGGAAAAAAAAAAAGAAATAGTTAGATAGAGACTTAATACTTTTCACACAATAACATTTCGAGAATTTTGCAACTTCGTATTACGTAATTTCTGGCAGTGTAATAGTTATTCGTGTGCTTGTGTGTGTGTGGGGGGGGGGAGGGGGGTGGATTGGGCTTTTGTCGTTTATATTTAAAATAAGAATTCGGAATTATATTGAACACGTATTACACATAGCTGTACTTAAAAACCAATCTTAAGCATTATATAAATAACAAATATGATACAAAGCTGGGCTCACTAAAATGTGCAGAAGTGTGACCAGGCGGCGAAATGACACAAAAAAGCTAACGGCATATAATCGACGGCGAAATGCGTTGCCTGCTCGCCGGCACTGCACCAGTGCGAGCGAGAGGGCAACACACTGGCAGAAGAAGACAAAGGCGAAGGCGAGGCAGCGCCAGTTTCTGTGGTGGAAGGAACGAAGTACTCGCGTCCTCCATGGTCAGTTTTAGGATTGCAAGATAAAAGAGCTTAGTTAAAAGCGAAATCTCCTCCATGGTCACATTTTTGTCTAGCTTGGCTGGAAAGGCGACTGAGAAGAATTCTCCATGTTCACTTTTTGTAGCAAATGATTGAAGAAGAAGAAGAAGAAGCTACGATGCAGATGCTCCTCCATGGTCACACTTTGTATGATTGACAGAAAAAAAAAATGGAGGCTTGATGGAGCATAATTCTAAACGTGCAACAAATATGGTCACATTTTGTTTGTTGTGTGTAGAGCTGAGAAAGTGAGGTTATGTGTGCTAAATTTTTCATAGATATTCATGAGCTGGCGAATGATTGATTGAATGATTGATGTACGCGTGTGTGTTTTGGTCAAAAGCCCTCTCTAAAACCTAGGCAAATGGATGCATATAACAAGTCTTAAGACTAAACGGACAATGCTATCGATTCGCTGGCAAATCGTCAGATAATCCGTAGCCCAAATCCGATTCGGAGTACGATTCGGATTCGGATTCCGATTTGGATTCCGATTGCGATTTGGATTTGGATTCGGATTTCGATTTGTATTCCGAATTAGATTCGGATTTGGATTCGGATTTGGATTCCGATTCGGATTTGGATTCGGATTTAGATTCCGATTCGGATTTGGATTCAGATTCCGATTCCGATTTGAATTTCGATTTGGACTCCGATTTGGACTACGGCGTGGATTCGGATTTGGATTCCGATTCGGATTTGGACTCGGATTTGGATTCGGATTTGGTTCGGATTTGCCAGCTGGCGACGCGACTTAAGTAAACAAAATGGCACATTGAAAGTCCCACAACCAGAATCTGTTTAGTGCGGGAGATGCTCCGCGCCCCCTGCTGCTCCTGCTGCTCCTGCTCACATGTGACCCCACCAGGCGGCGCTGGCCTGGTAGTAGCCGTCGCTGCCCCAACTCAGGACGCTCAGCGGCGGCGGCGGCGGCGTCAGGGATAACACATCGAACTCATCCTCAGGCCCATTGTTGTTGTTGTTGTTGTTGTTGTTGTTGTTGCGCCAGCTGCAGCCGCATGGCGGAGTCAGCTGTTGTTGTTGTTGTTGTTGCTTGTAGTGGGGCTGGCTGTGCAGGAGGAGCAGCTGCCTGAGCCGTAGCCTGAGCCGGAGCCTGTTGCGCTTCCTGGCGGGTGCAATGCGTCGCACCAGATCCCAGCCGACGGTGCCCTCTTGTTAGAAAACATTATGGCTGCTCTTGGCGCCTAGGAAGGGCTTCTCCTCGTTCATCTTCTCCAGATTGCCGCTCAGCGTTGGATCTGTCGGTCGTTGGCGCTTAAAGAATCCGCACTTCCACATCGCGTACGTGAACGCGCCCAGCAGCAGCAGGCCGCCCAGCACGGCCAATATGTAGATCCACAGCGGCGTGTGCGTCTCCCTCTGCTGGTCCAACAGTTCCGGATAGGCGCGTGTCTCCACCTGTCGGTTGGGGAAAATATAAAATTAGACTTTATATCCGATTTCTTTAACTCTTTAGCTATATCTGATTCTCTTTGTCATCATTCATATATCTATCAATATCTAGTTCGATTCCGACTTACAGGCTTTGGGGTTGAACTAACAAGCGAGAAGTCGCCGGTTCTAATTCAGCTTTAAATTTTATAAGTTGCTTGTTTAACTTAATATTCGTTCACAAATGGCAAGCAAGGGTTCAAGGCAAAACTTATAATATTATTCATTTGCTTCGGTCGAGCAACGCCGGTTAATTTCTCATAGTACATATATTTATGCCATTTTATATGCACTAATCTTTATCCGGCTAGATTTCGTATATTCTCTCTTTTCACTTTCTTAAGCTTTCAATTCACACGACGCCGATTTTCACCCAGCGAAGTGAATTCGTCGAAAGCCGTGAAACCGTTCGTTCGTTTTTTACATGCATATTCCACACTTGCGGGTGGAATTCGCCATAAAACAGACTTAAGCGTGAATTTCAATTTCAAAAATTCCTATTACTGGCGTTAAGTTTAAGCCTCTCGTTTGTTTGTCTTATGTTAATTGTCATTTGTGCCGAGTTCGAACCAGCGCGATGGCTCAAAAACTAGTTTACTGCCCTTTTTCTCTCTCTATAAATATGTAAGCTCGGCTTTAAGATATGCCTGCAGCCTAGTCTTAGCTTAAAGCTTGGCTTAACAATTATTTGTCATTTCTGCCGAGTTCGAACCAGCACGATGGCTCAAAAACTAGTTAACTAGCCCGTTTTCTCTCCATAAATATGCAAGAAATCGAAATTCGTACGTACCAAGACATTGTCATTGTTCTCGAGCTGCTCGACACCAAAGTTTTGGGGTATTTTGACATGGGCGGTGGATATGATGCGGACAAGATCCACTCGAGGATATTGGGCGACCAGCGTCGAGTTCCAGAGGCGCGCCTTGAGTGTCACCTGCGCCTCGGTCTTGGCCGGCATCGCGTAGAACTCACAGTGTATTTTGATGCAGTGCGCCGTCAGCTTGTCACAGTTGAGCTCCACAATTTGCTGCTTCTTGCCCTTGACGCCGGCCTCGCGTCCGTCCATGAAGCGCTCCGGCCGGACAATGCGCTCGAGCGTGTTGCGCGGCAAGCGATTCGCCCGGCCGTAATCCTGGCCAGACTTGTGCTGGCTCCAGTGCTGCGCCTGACCCTGGGTCTGGCTTAGATTGAGAGATTTGGTTGGCGTGGGTGACGCCTGACGGTGCAGGGGCCACTTGGTCATGGAGGCGGGCGCGTTCAGGTAGGCGGCGCTGCGCAGGCTGGCGGGCATCTTGGAGGCGAGCTTCAGCGGATTGATGTACTCGGGCGCCACCGTGCACTCGCCCTGGCCGGTCTCGATGGTCGGCTTGTCCTCCAAATATTGCAGATACTGATCCTTGGCGCCCTGCTCCAGCCCCTCGCCCTGGCCCTGGCCGCTCTCCAGCATCAGCGGCAAGGAGATCACCAGCTGCACCTTGGGCGCCGCCGATGGACCCTCGTTGAAGATCGAATAGGTGTGCATTAGCGGCGAGCCGACATCGTCCAGCTCCATGGGCGAATCCTGCAGCTTGGCCGCGCCGCTGTAGAAGCTCTGCTCCGGATTCACCCAGCCGCGTACCGTCAGCTCCGCCCGACGCACCATCAGCACGGTCAGCCGGCGCTCGGGCGGCTGCTGGCCCACCAGCTGCGAGGTGGTGTTCGCAAAGATGTGGAACACCATTTGCGACTCCTCCAGCTCCAGGCTGTTCGGATCGAAACGGATTGTCACATGCGTTGTGGTGCCACGCAGCATCGGATTGCCCAGGCTGCAGGCCACCAGCGTCGTGTTGAAGCTGTTGCATGTCGCGTTCGTCTGCCGTATCAGATTGCGAATGTGATTAGTCTGAGATTTGATGAATCCTCCAGCTGTACACTTACCGGCTTTTTGGTCGCTATGTAAGAGACGCTCTTCTGGTGCACGATGAACAGCTGTGCCTCGTACGCCGAGTCCGCCAGATTGCTCACGTTCACCATGACCTCCAGTTCCGTTTTGTTGCCCTGGATCAGTGAGTATTGACCGTCTGAAAAGAAGAAATTCAATAAAAAACGTGTTTTTTTTTGGAACTAGATCGCGGAACTGAACTAGTTCCGTGATGGAACGGAACTAGTTCCACAACGTAACTAATTTAGTTTCATTAAATCAAAAAGCTCTAGTTACATATCAAAGCAAACAAACAGTGAACTAGTATAAGGAACGATATTCACAAACTAGTTCAAAGTAGTTCATGAAGCTGAGCTTTAAAAAGAACAAATCTGTTTGAGTAAAGTCAAACAGTTTTAATTTCAAATCAGCTTCTCAGCTTCTCAGTAGCGATGCGCTTTGTGTAAGTAATTGGAAGGTGTATACTTGCACGTGGAACTAGTTCCAGGAACTAGAGTGGCTCATTTTGGAAAAACGTACAGGAATTGGTTTGATATTTACAGAGCAGTTGTGCTCTGTCAGCTGCTGCAAACTTCGATTCTTTTGTAATTGAACTAGTTCATGGAACTAACAACTATGGTGACTCATTTTGGGCACATATTGAGCAATTGTTTGTATTCTTTTGTAATGGAATTAGTTCATGCAACGTGCTAGTTCCGGTTAGTTCCATGAATTAAAGTGACTCATTTTGGAAAAGAGTTCAGGAATCGTTTCGATATTTACAAAGTAGCTGTGCAACTGGGGCTCATTTGAAATGAAACTAGTTCAGGGAACTTATCAGATCCAGGAACCAAAAGTGACTCACATTTTGAACAGATTAATGAATTGTATTCTTTTCGTATTTAAAGCGCAGTTATGCTTAATGCTGCAATCGAATGGTTCCGGAACTGGTTCCGGGAAATTAGTTTGAAGTAGAACTTACCCTCGGCCGTGAGATTGGGCTCAGCATGCAGTCGCAGATCGCTCTCGCAGAGATCATCATCGCCGCAATCCTTCTGGAAGGTGCCCTCGAACTCGATGTAGGCCTGCGTCTGGTCCAGAATGGGATTGAGCCGTTCGAGCGGCGAGTCGGCCAGCTGTTGCTCCTGCAGCTTGTAGTCCAGGCGAAAGCGAATGGGCGTCTGGATGTCGCGCGTATTCGCCTTGATGTACCCGGTGACCATTTGGCACTCGACCCGGCCATCTGTGCGGACGCGAACCTGTCGACTGATCACGTTGCTGCGCTTGTTCTCCCGATCGAAGAAGGCGCGCGAGAACTTCTTGTGATGCTCGAAGGTCTCCGCCTCGGCGGTGAAGATCAGATTGAGCTCCTTGTTTAGCTGCTCGTGCGGATCGATGCTGCTGCACGCCTCGAACGTGAAGCAGGTCAGATTCGTTGAGACATCCATGCGGCAGCCGGCGCGATTCGGATCTATGTTGCGTGTCTCGTTGCTGCGATATGTCGTCTGGATGTTGATAATGGGTCGGGCCAGCAGAACAACAACGGCAGGCTGAGCGCCCACGACCATGTCCACATACGAGTTGCCATCGAGATCCGTGTTGCCCGCTATGGAGATGCCAAAGGTGCGTATGGGCTGGGGCAGATTGCGTCCCAGCTCCGAGGCCTGAATGCGCTGCGAGGGCTTCTCGTTGAGGCCCTGCTTGGAGCCGAGATAAACGTAGACGACGCCGTCGCCCTCGTAGGGCGCACCCACAGCCAGATCCTCGCAGCTGTCCTTGTTCAGATCCCCAATGTTGGCCAGCGCCAGCCCGAAGCGACTCTCCAGGGCCCCGGTCAGACGCAGCGTCGCCTGCTTGGGCAGCATATCCTTGGCGTTCTGATAGACATAGACGGCGCCGCCATCACTCTTGGCAAAGTAGAAGGGCGCGGCGACAATCAGATCCGGTTTCTGATCGCCATTGATGTCCGCCGTGGTCAGCTCATAGCCAAAGCTCGAGGCGAACTGCTCCCCGTCGATGATCAGCCGCACGGGTATCGGACTCGTATTGGCCTTGTCAAAGATCACAACCTGGCCGTGGCCATTCGAACGGGGCGCACCCGCCGCATAGGACATTCGCTCACCGAAGTACCTTCCGCCCGTTACGGCCATGCCCAGATAACTGTACTTATCCACCGGTGAGCTGGCGTCCGAGTGATCGCTGTAGTACATGTTCTTGTCCCGCTCCAGATACTCGCCCCCAATCTCGGTCACGAAAATGGCGCCGCGCCACGTGAACGGGCCCGGCGTGCCCAGCACCATGGTATTGTCATCCAGCAGGGCGCCCGAGGTGCCCACCTGACAGAAGCCATAATCCTCGTGTTGCCTGCGTGTGTGTGTGTGTGTGTGTGGATTGCACGACATTAATAAATGGCCAACAAACTGACAGTCGGACGGAGACCGACTGTTAAATACCCTGTGTTTGTTATGTTCAAACGAGCTACAGTATGTCGGAAAGTGCTCTCGTGACCCTCAAACTGTAACGCCTTGGAAGTCAGTGACTTTCTAACTGTGACTTTGGGAATTACTTTCCGAATCTCAGACTGTAAACCGCTCAAAAGCTAGTGACTTTCAAACTGTAACTCTGGGAGCTATCTACTTGAACACGCTGACTCTCAGACTGTAACCAATAACATTCAAACTGTAACTTAAGATGGAGACTCCAAATCAATAGCCAGTGACTTACCAACTGTGAAAATACTATGTGCTTGACGAAATCAACTTCTGTCTTTTGAGCTGGTGGCTCTAAAACTGTAAGCAAAGGAGCTTCACCCTGTGACTTTGGGAAAATCTTTCTGATTATGTGCCTGGTGACTGTAAGACTGTGAACCTACGAGCGCAGTGACTTTCAAACGGCGTCTCAAGAAAATAAGCTGCTAGAGATAGCGACTCCTAAACTGTAACCAATGACTTTCAATCTGTGAATTTGGAAAATTTGAAAATAACTATAACAAAAGATTTGTACACTGTGAACTTTCAATCATCGGACTATTGACTTGAAGACTGACCCACACCAGCGCAGTGCCTTTCAAACTGCTATCTGCTGATTCGACTGGTGACTTTAAGACTGTAAACAGTGAATGACAAACTGTGACGTTAGGTGAATTCTTTCTGCTTTCTGATTGGGCAGCTGATTCTCAAATTGTAAGCCCCGACAATAGTGACTTTCAAACTGTGATGTTTGGAAATTTGACGCCTAACGCTCAATCTTTGGAGCGAGTCCTGTGAAGTTCATCTACCGCTAGCTCTAAGACATTGGAATATATTCTGACCAAACCTTGCCCAAAAACTAAACTACACTCTCTGGCATCTGGTATGTAGAGTATAAATGAGTCCAGGGTCAGGCACGCTATGCCAGCGCAATGAAAAATTGCATGTCCAAGTCCGGGTGCACGTCATCTAGCTTGCCTCACATATTATGCCATATCACATCATAAAACAATCTATTCTATGTTTTTTTTTTTTGGGCGCGGCTGCCTCTGCCCCTGCCCCAGCCCCTACTCGCCCCCCTTCCCAACATGTGCTGACATTTAAATAAATTGAAATTTCGCCCTTATGACATGGGTTCCTGCAACGACGACGTCATCGCTGTCACACCTGACCAGCACGTCCCTCGCCCGCCTCGCCCGCCTTCTTCCTGTCCCTGCTCTCCCTGCTTTCCTGCTTCGCCCTAACCTCACAAACACACACGCTGCATGCTAATTGGCTTTAACTGAAGCTAGACACGCGCTGAGTTGCCTTTCTTCCTTTCAGTTTTTGAAATATCTTTATACGCACTTCACCTTGACACTTTTTTTGTTTTGTTTTTGGCTGGGCCATGAATCAAACCTGACCATGACAAATTTACCATATCGAATTGATTCATTCAGGAAATTTTTGTTTCTGCTTTTAATATGCTCGACTGCGTTTCGTTTCACACAATATTTTATATATTCGGGTGCCGAGTTTCCAAATAGATGAATCTTGTATTTCCCAATTTCTTATGGATTTCCTATATTTTTGACTCATTTTAGCTTCGTTTGGAAGGACTTTGGGGAATTTAATCGCAATCCTTCAAACTCAATGTTTCCAACTTTAGACTAAGGATTTCAAGTTCCCCATGGATTGAAGAAGGATTCAGGCCATCCATTTGATTGGAATTTTTATGCTCTATAGAGTCCCATCTTCATCTGGGCATAGAGTTCTATCTAGAGTTATATTTCTCGCTAATGAAACAAGACTTTGAGCAAGAGAACTATCTTGAAAGTTTTAATATATTTTCGATATTCCCTAAGATCCTTAACCGGAAAACCTAGGTCCTCATGGAAGTAAGAACTACCAGCTCCAAATGTCATCGGTTTACAGCTTCGACTTTCGCTTCCTACTCAAATCCTAAGTTTCTGAATATCTAAATTGGGTCACAATTGGAACCAGCATATTCTACTCCCGATTTAGCTCTGAGATTCCCAAAAATCTCTATCCCAAATCAATCCCGTATTCTACTTTCAAGTTCACAGTTCACCAAGTTTATGGTTCCCCCAAGGAAGCGGAACATCGAATTTACAAAATCTAGATAGTTTTGAGCTCTCAATCCTGGCTTGTCCCGCTTTATTTTCAGTGCTTCCTTCACCTACCTTTGCACGGAGCGTCCTTTGCATGGCTCGTAGACCTCGTCGAACTGTAGATCGTTGGTCAGGACATAGCACAGACCTTGTCCATAGCGATTCTCGCGCACAATCGTCACATAGCGATGGGCACAGACCAGCACCTGAGGAGAGGGGGGGAGGGGGGTAGGTAATCAAATCCAGAATCAGTTGGAGAGATTAAATCGCCATTTTGATGCTTACCTTGCCGCCTAGACCTTGGGAGCGTACAGTTACGCCCATCCATTGTCCCTCCTTGATTTCGTCGCTAGATGGCGGTATCAGTTCGTCGACATCGTAGGCTGTAGGTGGCGCCAGTGAGCAGATAGAAGTGCAAAAAGTAGTTTTTTTGTTCTTGTTAGCAAAGTGTGTGACGAAGTTGTATGTGTGTGCGTGTGTTTGTATGTGTATGTGTATATGTGTGTGTGTGTGTTTGTGTATGTGCGTGTGGGTGTGTGTGTGTATCTGTGTGTATGTGTCGCATCAGTTACAACAACAATAACAACAACATCAATAACAACATAAGTGATAGAATATGCATTAAAAACAATATGTAATTATGTATTCATATGTACAGTTGGTTTTTTAATTTTTAATTTTACAAAATATTCGAAAAGATAAATGCTAATCTAAACTCAAATTTACGGTATTTACTGCGAGCGAGCAACGTTAACATCTATGCTGCTAAGCTATTAACAGCTGTTAAATAACATGAGCAAAAACGCTGAGCGGACGAGAGAGAGAGACAGAGAGAGAGAGAGAGAGGACAGAAAGCACGCAACAAGGGAAAAACAACTGCAGGCAGATCTTGCGCACATGTGCAGTGGGGTCCGACGCATTCAGTCAAGGGGGGAGGGGGGGGGGAGCTTGCTCTACTTATAGATGTCTGCAGAAACGAGTCGCGCTGTTCAGCACATGTGCAACAGAAGAAAAGAAGCAGCAGCAGCAACAACAACAACAACAACAACGAAATCAAAAGCAACAAGTGTAAACAAAATATTCGACTAAACGAAGCATGAAGCAAAAGTGACATGCTCGACTAAGAAATACCACGCAATTGAGTGCGCGCGAGAGAGAGAGAGAGAGAGAGAGAGAGAGAGTACGAGCGAGTAAATGAGTAAAGAACTAGCACATATGTATTATTTTTCAACTAAAACTAAACATGCAACAAAATAAATTTAGTATTTTTAAATAGCTTGGCAGCCCTACCCAGCATGTATGAATTGTAACCCTTTGACTTTTTTAAGCACAGACATGTCCTGCATTAGGTCATGCAAACATCCCTGTCATAATCAGTATATGCACATATCCCAGCCAAACATTGGCTTGTAAAGTTTACTGGATGAAACATTGCATCTTTTGTCACTATTTTTGAAAGCCAACTTGGATCATAAGCTTAAGCAGCTCAAATATATACAAATTCAAGGGATTAAAGGAAGTTATATTCTCAAAAGAGTTGCATGTCAGGGCATTAAAATAGAAAGATAGATTGTTTGAATGCAGCAGCAGCGACTTTGTCGGCATTGAAGGTGCGACTGGGGTGTTGCTGTTTGCGCCTGCTTAGGCGGCTTTGCACCAATACACTCACACTCATGCGCAATAGAAGATGTGCTGAGAGGCAAAGCGAAAGGGAGAGGGAGAGCGAGAGAGTGAGAGTGGGCGAGCGTTAATAAGTGTGTGTGAAACGTAACGAAATTGATTTAAAATGCATTTTAAAGCATCAAAGTGTTGAAATATGATAAATGACTTTAACAGTGTGCCCGCAGCGCAAAGAGAGAGGCGAAAAGAGAGCGGCAAAGAGAGCTGATTGCTGTTTTGAGCGGAGAGCTGAGTTTATCATTTATGATTTTTGAATTGCTGCTGCGCCTTTTACTGCTTGTTTTTTTTAATTTTTATTTCGGGCGTGGGCTGTTCTGGCGGCAGCAGCTTTGACGGGTTTGACGCGTTTTAAAACGCGCAGAGTGAAAGTCGCATTAAAAATTTACCGCATCTGCGGCCCACGCGACTCAAGCGCAGCTGCAGTTGAGTGCGTGCGCGCGTGTGTATGTGTGTGTTTGGCTTCTTATTGGCATAGGCCCAGGCCCAGTGAACTTTGCACTGCGCGGCGCGTTTTTGGCATTGACAGTGGGCTGGGGTTTGGGGGCGTGGTGCGTGTTTGTGCCTGTCGCGTCTATCGCTATGTGTGGTATTTGGCTCAAAAATGTCGAGACGCATGTTGCACAAGAATTTCTTTATGCCACACAAATTTGCGTTTTGCCGCAGTTTATTTTTATGCCGCTGCAATTGTTGTTGTTCCCGTTCTGCTGCTGCTGCTGCTGCTACTGCTGCTTCTTCTTCTTCTTTGCATTTTGTAAAATTTGTCACGTTCTCGGGCGCCGTGGCAGTGGCAGACTCTCTGCCACAGTCAGCAGCACGCTCTGATTGTCGCGCGTTACCAATAGCAAAGGCCAGAAATAACAACAGCAGCAACAACAACAACAACAAGAACAACTGCAAAACGGGCACAGCCAAAGCTGACGTCGACGTCGACGTCGACGCCGCCGCCGCCGCTTTGCAAACATTTGGAATGCGAACGGCACATTAACATTGTCAGCGTTGGAGGTTGCGGTGGAGGAGAAGGAGGGGGGGGGGGGGGGGGGGGGGGGGGGTACATATGCACAGCTGTTGCTGCAAATGACTTTACAGCTCAATATTTAAATAATTTGGAGCCGAGTAAATATAATTAAAGCTAAATGAGATGCCAATTGGCAGCAAATTGTCCCCCTTCAAAAGAAAAAAAAAAAATGAACGGCACGGCGAAGTTTGAATACCCTTTCCGAATAATTTATCATATGGAAGTTATGCGAAGTAGGCAAATATGTAAGAAAAGCTTGTAAATACGCTAAGATATCTAAGAATAGAATTGGTTTGAGGCATAAAATGTTCAAAAATTCTCTGGAAAAATAACGTAACGGGATTTTGGTATAATTTATTTTGTTTTTGACCAATTTTTCACCCTACAAAAGCATCTATAACAGTTTTAAATGTACAAAAGTCTCATGCAAAAACAATGTTAAACAGGCCTAGTCGAGTGTGCGCGACTAACAAATACCCTGTGAAAACTACAAAATGTACGATAATCTACGCCACAAATTTGCGAAAATCTCTGAGTTCGAATAGATTGCATGTTACTCAAATCTTGATTTTATATTCTTAAACGAAATTCCAACTAAATTCTAAAATAAAATCTGGTTTCTGTGAAGACCTGTCCCTCCTATACATATGTATACTATTAATACCTGTCATCAGCGGGATTAAATACTTTAAAAACATTTTCAATTTCAAAGACTATTTATTTTTTCTAAAATTGTCAATAGTTTGAACACAGTTCTCTTTTCTATATACATATTTATGTTTTGCCAAATCAAAGGCCGAATTTCTTATTTCTAATTTCAGCTTTAAGATAAATGCCTAAAAATGTGAAATTAATAAGACCCCAGGGAACGGCGATAAGAAGAAAGGCAAGACCCAGCATTATTTTTGTGTAAATTTCGTGGAATTGCAAATGCCACGATGTTGATGATTTTCGGGCTAAGCAACCGCATGCATGCCCAACACTGGGTTGCATTCGCAGTGAATGCCATTAAGTTGGCTGCGCTAGAGCATCGTTAAGTTGGCCGCGGCCAATTGCCATGTCAGAAATGGCACCGAAGATTCAGCTATAGTTTATTGTACAAGTCAATGGCAAACGACAAGTTAGCACGGCGCGAATGCAAAACTGGCCCTAAAGCCAAACACGAATTCCGAAGCGTCTCTTAACCCACAGGCCCGGCTCGGCCCGGTCGTGCTCGACAAGTTCTCACAGCGCTAAGCGATGATTTATATGGCGAACTAGTTAATTACAATGATTGCTCAGTCAAAATGTGTCAACTAGATTGCTGCTAATGGGCATTCGAGTAATAAATAAGTAGTTAATTATCGATACAATATTATATATGCATATATATATATATATAGAGAGAGAGATATATAGATAAATGTATATTATAATTAGCATGTAAATTGATGCCAGAAATAGAAGATATGTACATATATATATATACAGGCTTAACTGTGTGTGTGTGTGTATGTGTGTGTGTGTGGGTTAGTGTGTGCGGCCCGAATTCAGCTGCATTTAGCGGCGCATGCAACAAATACAAAATGGCGGCACACAAAGTGCCGTTAACTTTAGCTGGCATGGCATGCGTGCGTGACTGTACATGTGAGTGCTAGCCGTTTATCGATAGACAGTTTATCGTTCGATTATGTACAGGCTGTGAGTGTTGTGTGTGCGTAAATTAGGCAAATCTCTTGCGTTATCGATAGCAAATATTTCGTTTATCGTTGCAATTCGTTGGTTAGAATAATGTGAGAGAAATCAAAGCGCAAATGCAAATCATAAATTAAGTTTTGAACAAACAAATGAATTGATCAAATTGTGTATTAGTTTTTGTTTTTTATTTTCTGTTTTTTTTTCTTTTGTGGGCAAAACAACAACAAATAAAGCACCCATACCACTTACTAGGTTCATAAGCTCCGCCAGATGCTAAATGATAAATTCGTTTGGTTTTTTTTTTGAAATGTCGAAAATAGTTGGTCAATAATTTTTTTTTTGGAAGAGTTAAATGAGTTTTCCATATGCGCACCGAATATATATAAATATATTTGTTTTTTAATTTTTTGGATGGGGGATTTACGCAAAGAAGAGAACGAAAACAAAAATAAAGAAAAAAAAGAAAATTAAATAAAGGAAATAATATATATATATATATATGTTTTGTGTTGGAATAAATATTCATTAAGAAACTAGTTCTATGCAATAAAAAGAATAAATGTTACTGTGGATACGCTGGCCATATCTTGCCATAGCTAAGTATCTATATTAACTATAGTAATTAACTAACGTTTTAGTCACAGTTCTTTATACAGCTGCACGCGATTTTATGTACAGACAGAAACGAACCTAGCCAAATCATAATCATATTAACAATAGCTATACAATATATTAGATAATATGCTCAAATAGATAGGGTCTAAGACTCAGCCAGTTCTGGTCACATGTGTTAGTCACTGCGTTTAAAAGTTAATCAAAGCTTGACTAGACTTAAGTATGACAAGTTTTAGTGTTAGTTTCGCTTCAATTGTCGAGCTCTTTCTTTTGAAATAACCTTCACCTCGTTTGGGCAGCAGCATTCGCATTTTATGAACTAACATTAATTCGATTCTCCATGGAAGATAACAAAAAAAAAAAAAGAAAGTAGAACTTAAGCCTTGACAGCGTTTAGAGTACTTTTTCGATAGACTCAATCAAATTGGGCTTAATTATATACGTAGTGCTTATTATTTAAGAAAAATATCAGTTGTATTTCTGCCTCTTCGTTTACTTACATCTTCGTCCGTCCGTGATGACCTGTTCGCAGTCGTCGAAGTCCGTCGAGATGGGGCACCTGTACAGGGCGCCCGATGCATTCGTGTTCGGCTGTCGATTCCGGTCCAAGGGCGCGCCCACCAGCAGGCTGTAGGAGCGAGAAGAGCAAGAGAAGCAGGAAATTAAAGACGTTGCTTTTTTTCGCACCAAACTGAAGATCACAACAAAAAAAACAAGTAAGAGGTTCTATATTCTATTTTAGAAGCTATATGTCAAGTTTGGTGACTCCGCGCGGAGTTATGTCGTTTTGGAACGTCATATCTCCCGCGGAGTTATTTCGTTTTGGAACGTCATATCTCCAATGGAGTTATGTCGTTTTGGGGAACATCATATCTCTGCGCGGAGTTATGTCGTTTTGGAACGTCATATCTCCCGCGGAGTTATGTCGTTTTGGAACGACATATCTCCAAGCGGAGCTATTACCCGAGAGCTATTACCCGGGGTAAGTTCGAATATCAAAACTTTTTTGAATATTTTTTTGAAAATCTCGGGTAAATATACCTTGATTTTTAAATATTATACCTTTTTGAATTCGTACGGATCCCTACTATCATATGGCATAATCAATATCAATATCAATATCATAATCAATTTTTTTTGTTGATTTTTTCAGACTATCTCGGCCAAGTAATCTCAGAGTCGAAGCATTCGCCAACCCATACAAGAGACCTCGCTGAGAGGTGTGTAATACGAAGGCACAAGAAAAGATCCTTTAGAGACCTTCTCCAACCACGACACAGGAGCAGCTCCAGAGCCCACCGACTACCTACCTTACTCAAAGAAGACGGCTTTGACGTTTGTCCACGACAAACCCTGAGGAGCCAACCAGGATTGGCGACGTTCGTTTTGAAAACGTCATATCTCCAATGGAGTTATGTCGTTTTGGAACGTCATATCTCCGCGCGGAGCTATTACCCGAGAGCTATTACCCGGGGTAAGTTCGAATATCAAAACTTTTTTGAATATTTTTTTGAAAATCTCGAGTAAATATAATTTGATTTTTAAATATTATACCTTTTTTAATTCGTACGGATCCCTACTATCATATGGCATAATCAATATCAACATCATAATCATAATCAATCTTTTTTGTTGATTTTTTTAGACTATCTCGGCCAAGTAATCTCAGAGTCGAAGCATTCGCCAACCCATACAAGAGACCTCGCTGAGAGGTGTGTAGTCAGAAGGCTCAAGAAAAGATCAGGAGCAGCCCAGAGCCCACCGACTACCTACGTGACGGTGCAGCCTTACTCAAAGAAGACGGCTTTGACGTTTGTCCACGACAAAGCCTGAGGAGCCAACCAGGATTGGCGAGATACCACCTTAGTTAACGGTTTTGTAATAAAAATGTATGTATATGATATGTGATATATATGTATATATATATATGATATTCTTTGATTCAATATAATAAACATATATAAGTAAAAACAAACTTTTTTGACTATTTATTTTTTGAACTCTCGGGTAAATATATCCTTTTTGAATTGGTACGAATCCCTACTATCATACGGCATTCAAACAAATTAAAAATTGATGGGTTGAAATGAGTTGTTGATCAAAAAACGTTTCGTTTGTAAAATCAAGCTTTTTTGATCATTTTTTTAGACTATCTCGGCCAAATAATCTCAGATTTTGGAATTTTATACTATTTTTGAATCAGTACTATCGATTGGCATCAGAAAAATAAAAATCTAAATTTTGAGCCAAATCGACCAAAAAGCAAGGGGTTACATCACGTTTTTTTTCCAAAATCGGGGTGGGTTCGAATATCTCAACTTGTTTGACGTTTTTTTTTTAAATCTCGGGTAAATATAAACTCATTTTAAAATGTTATACCCTTTTGAATGCGTACGGATCCCTACTATCATATGGCATTCATTAAATGGAACGTTTTGGAACGTCATATCTCCCGCGGAGTTATTTTTTTTGGAACGTCATATCTCCAGCGGAGTTATGTCGTTTTGGAACGTCATATCTCCAGCGGGGAGTTATGTCGTTTTGGAACGTCATATCTCCAGCGGGGAGTTATGTCGTTTTGGAACGTCATATCTCCAGCGGGGAGTTATGTCGTTTTGGAACGTCATATCTCCAGCGGGGAGTTATGTCGTTTTGGAACGTCATATCTCCAGCGGGGAGTTATGTCGTTTTGGAACGTCATATCTCCAGCGGGGAGTTATGTCGTTTTGGAACGTCATATCTCCAGCGGGGAGTTATGTCGTTTTGGAACGTCATATCTCCAGCGGGGAGTTATGTCGTTTTGGAACGTCATATCTCCAGCGGGGAGTTATGTCGTTTTGGAACGTCATATCTCCAGCGGGGAGTTATGTCGTTTTGGAACGTCATATCTCCAAGCGGAGCTATTACCCGAGAGCTATTACCAGGGGTAAGTTCGAATATCAAAACTTTTTTGAATATTTTTTTGAAAATCTCGGGTAAATATAATTTGATTTTTAAATATTATACCTTTTTGAATTCGTACGGATCCCTACTATCATATGGCATTCATTAAAAAAAAAGTTATTGGCCAAAAACGTTTAGCTTGCAAAGTCCACCTTTTTTGGAGTATCTCAAGTGAGATTCATTAAATTATGCTAAACGAAGTACTGTCCCAATCGAGCTCTCTCCACTGGATTTATTCAAGCCATATAAATAGGTAGCTTTATCTAAATCAATATACTTACTTTGCATACCCAAGCTATTTGCATGAACATAATATTAAACAAGTAAGAGGTTCTAGTCGGGAGCTCCCTTTTCTTCTTCCAACATCAAATGCATAATATATATTCTATTATAGAAGCTATATGTCAAGTTTGGTGACTCTAGCTCTTATTATTTGCCAAAATTGACCAAAAAACAGGATATCGATATCGATTTTTATCGATTGCTTGGAAACGAAGTAAGTTATCGATTATCGGAAACAAACTCGATCTGCGCGGGAGCTAGGAGCATCTACATATAAAATTTTACGACGGACGGACAGACAGACGGACGGACATGGCTAGATCGACTCGGCTATTAATGCTGATCAAGAATATATATACTTTATGGGGTCGGAGATGCTTCCTTCTGCCTGTTACATACATTTGCATTTTGCACAAATACAATATACCCTGTTTGCCCATTTTTAATGGGTTCAGGGTATAAAAAGAAGAAACTTTGGCAACTGCGAGGCTAGCAAAATCCCACGGGTGCGCGATCAGCCGATCACACCGTCGATATATATCGATATCGATCAAATAACGGTGCAGTCGGTTTTTGCGGTCGCCGGCTCGAATTGCCAATTGCCAATTGCGATGTGCTCAGGTGTCCGCTGCGATTGAGCTTCAATTGTACAAACGCAGTCATGAGCTGCCCAGGGGCATCAGCAGGGGGAGGGGAGGGGGGGGGGGGGCTACCAATAAAATCGATTTCGTGGGTGGAACCAGTTCAATGCACCTTTACTTGGATTATTGCACGCAGAAGGGGCTTGCCAAAATGTAATTACTTAGGAACACTTGAAGCGCAGTCTCGACAGTCGAGCAGAGGCGGCGGGGGCGGAGACAGGGGCGTGGGCGGCGAGAGGGGCGGTGCGGCGCGGTGGGGCACAGCAATGAGAGGGTATTTGGGCGCGTCAACACGAAAAGATGTTGCTAATGAGGCAGGCAGACAGGCAGGCTTTAAGACCCAAACTAAGCATGATCTAGCCGTGAGTACTCGCCTGAGAGATACCCTGTAAAAGACAAATGCTGCGCTGCCTCTTCTCTCAGCCTCACTCGCTTGGCAATGTGTTTCTGCAGATCTACAGTGCTTATTGGCGAGAATTTTTGATATTTTCAGGCGATCAAGTGCGTACATAACCTAAAAGTCAATGCTGGAAAATTTAAAAATAAGTTTTCCATTTCCAAAAAGTGAAGCCTATATAAAGCCTATATAAAGCCTATATATCAAACTGTTTGACTGTAGCTAATGTAGTCCGCGAGATTTGTATTGTTTTGCCTGCAAATCGATAGTTATCGATATTTAGGAAATGAGGAAAAACTATCTAAAAACTAAATTTGTTATGCGCGTGAAATAGGAAATATCTCCGAATATCATAGTTTCCGGGATCCAAGATTCAGCTCGTCTCAACTTCTTGTCTTGTTTTTTTCAAGAATTATTGTACAAAGACGCTTACAAAATCAATATACCCTATTTGACTGGTACAGACTGTGCAGAAAATCGCTGCCTCACCCACGTAGCACAGTGTAAACATGCAACTTCATTATCCTCGAGCGGCAACAGCGGCAATTGCGGCTTTATGGACACCATTAAAAGCGGCACCTACACGTTGCCACATGGCCATGTTGCTGCCTCTTTAAGTGCCCCAAGCCCAGCAACAACAACAACAGCTGCAGCCGCAGCCAAGCCAAAGTTGAGGGCAGGTCCAAGTCATTTGCTGTTTGTCGCCTAACAATTGACACTTGGCCCGCACATTAACCAACACTGGCCGCGCTCTCTAGCCCTCTCGCCAGTTTTTACGATGCGTCTTAAAGTGTTTTCTTTAATTTCTAGTTTTTTTTTATTGCATATTTCTATTTCTATTTAGTTGAGTTGCATGCTGGCAACAGCTTTCGTTTGCGAACTAGTTCTTTGCTTAATGAAGTGTTGAACAAGGCCTTAAAAATAAATTGCAATTCAGTTGCTTGGTACTATAGCGCAACGCACTCATTTGAACTTGTGTACAATGGAACAAAAAAAAGAAAAAAGTAATAAAATCTGACAACTCCTTTAAAATATAAAAAAAAATCATATTGAAAGTGAGTTGTCTTTTCCTAAATTGAAACAGGGCAGGAAATATCGTCGCCTAATGCGCTTTGAATGGCTCATAAATGTTAAGAACTAGTTCTTTGAGCTGCAAATTTATGAACTACTCGCCGGAGCTATCAATGCGATGTTAATGGCTTTTGAATATCTTAATGCACACCCACTGAACCATCAAAGTAAGCCAAGAACTGGTTGCCAGCAACAGGCAACAGGCAACTAGCTAGACCTGATTCCGACACTTAAACACTGGACACGAGCTGCCCCGCGTGCCCCTTGCCGCTGTTCAACACTATGCAACACTGT